CTCTTCGTTTCATTTGTATGGTCGGTGAACTAGGTAAAATTAGCTTAGATTAGCCTAGTGCGAGACAAAGGTATAATCCGTTTATGCTGAAAAATGTTTGCGAACGTTGTCATGATTTTTTCCGTTTCTTTTTTTCATGCCGATTGAGGAATTCTGTATTATTTCGGATTATTCTGTAGCATAGACCATGTATTTAAGCTTATAATTTAAAAGAAAAAGGCTAGAATTGAAATTAGTCCCCTAGATAGCATTTTTTGCTATGGTATTACTGTGCTGTACTGGTTTTTTTTGCATTCCGAATTTGCGAAATTACCGGTAAAACCGAATGCCAAAGACATGTGTTTCATTCTTTAGTCTAGTAAAAAAAAAAAATACATGGCGTTATCGGCACTTTCAGGAAAAACTGGGGTCGATTCTTATTACAGTATTATTTGCAGTCAGCTACGCAACTTGAGCGCATCAATTAAATTTTTTAAGCCTCATCGCAGTAAATGAACCCCCATCAGATTAATCGCAAAATAATTCGGCGCTTAGTCCCACAGAGAGCCTCTTTTCATGTCGAAAATATTTTCAAGGTTTCCCCAGATTTTGAGGGGGGAAATTTGTTACGGACCCATTTCCGCGGCTTGGAGTAATAAAAGCACTGCGGCTAGGAGTCATCGCGGAGCGCACTTGGGTCTAGGCCGAGCTCATTGATATTTTGCATGAGTGCGAGGCTACCTTGGCCCGAAAACTCGCTGTGATCGTTTTCTCTTGTCTACTTCTTCCTCCTTTCTCTCTCATATCCACTTCCCGCTTCAAATATACTCGAGGCTTTATATATAAGCAGTATTTTTTTTTTGCCAACATTTCTTGATTTTTTGGAACAGCTTTTCAAACCGTAAACAAGCGGATTACAAGCCAAGAAAGCTCTCTCTCTCTCTCTCTCTTTTCTTAGAGTGACTTTGAGGTACAGCATCTTGTAGAACATGATTCTTGCTTAGAGTCATTATACCACACTGGTTTCATTTTTTGAACTCCATCAAGCGGTTATTTATTTTCCAATCTTTCTATTCCAAAAAAAAAAAAAAATGCATGTGCTAGCTCATAAAACGCGAAGAGCTTGAGTGCGCCAATGTGCGCAAGATTTACTTGACTTCTAACAAATGGATCTTGAGATTTTATTCTTGCGAAAGCACGGCTTTTCCTAATTTTTTTAAATTTTCGTATCTCATGTTATTGAGTGGGATAAATACAACTATGTCTAGGAGTCGTTTTTATTGCGATAATTATTTGCACATTTTTTGCAGTTCCAACGAGGACATCATCTTGCTGATTAAGAATGGAGAACATGACGATTTCGGGGCGGAAAAGCTTCGAGGTCTGCTGAAAATCTTGCCGGAAATGGACGAAGTGGAAATGCTCAAGAGCTTTGACGGAGATAAGGCCAAATTGGGAAACGCGGAGAAATTTTTACTGCAAATCCTTGCAGTGCCCAGGTGGGCATTATGTTTATTTTCGCGCTAATTTTTTTTTCAACAACCTTGACCGAGAAAAAGGATGGTTCTGATGTTTCATCAAAACATTTCACTGCAATGAACTTCTTCCCCCCCCCTCTCTCTCTCTCTCTCGATCTTCGGCATTCAAGTTTATGAGTTAAAATTCTGCAAACCACCATAAAAGCAGCAAGGAGCGAAATTTGTAGCCAGGATCTTTTATTTTGCCAATAGTTCTCTTCGATCGCAACCTTGCCTTGGGCAACTTTTAGCGCAACCAATTCACACTTTACAGCAACCTCGAAGATCAATGTCATTGGCATAACAATCGTCAAAATCAGAAAAGATTTTTAATTTTGAATGAATCATAATGATGATTTACTATCGGACTTCCCTTCATAGCTTTGAATGACAATGTATAGGCTTCGTTCCTAATTAATTCCCGCTTGAAATGGTTCATGCCTTTGAATTGAGAACATTTCAAGCACGGTGTTCCAAATGCTTGATTATTTTTTAGCACTTATTTTTTTCAGTATTTTTATGAATCTTGCAAGCATGTCAAATAATTTATTTGCAGGGATTATGCGCATGGATTTTTTCAACTATCTTGCATCGATTAATTTTGAATTCGGCGCGCCAAAATCGAGATAGGGGCGTTGAAATTATAAACTATTATACAGTACTCTAAAAAAAAAGCCTAAAACTCTACACATTGGAGACGTCACTTATTCTGACGTAATCCCTGAACAAACCCTCGAAAAAATGGGATGATGTCAGAGGACCTTATTCTCGCATTTTCAGGGAATATTGAAGTCAATTCATTTGAAATTCTTTCTTTCATGGTGCAGTTACAAGCTCCGCGTGGAGAGCATGTTGCTGAAGCAGGAGTTTGCGAGTCAGATGGAGACCTTGGAACCGGCCATAAACGCGATCATAGGAGCAGCTGATGGTGAGTGCACTTTTACTGTATAGTACGGTACCAGGATAAATGGTGCATGCAGAAAATCGAGCCATGAGCTTAAGAAGGCATCAGCTGTCTTCGATTGCTGCCCAATATTGTCTTTCTTCCTTGTGTTCTGTTGGGATGGGGTGGGAACTGAACCTTGAATTCTGTATATATTTGCCATCTGTGACGGGATCTCGGGACGACAGGATGTGCACCCATAATTGTCAATTTCCTGCTGAACACAGCTGACATGCGGTAGATCTATCCCTGTTTGATTCCTATAGGAACTTCTCCGGATCTTTTCCCGGTCATAAAGAATTATACGTTTGTGTCTTCACAGTTGAGAAGTGCACTTAACTCAAAAGCATTTTGGAGACTAAAGGAGGTTTCCCTTAATCAAATGTGTTAAGGCCATTTGTTATTAGTTCGGAGCTGAATTTTAAACCACCTGCTTCAGAAAACAAAACAAAAACTGGTGCGAATTATTTTCTTTACGTTCTCCGCAATAGGGTGTGAATCTTTTTGTGAGTATAGTATATCTTTGAATAATGTAAAGTTCTCATAAATTGACGAAAAAATAATTTCGTATCCAAAGAAGCCGAATTCCTTAAATCAAGAACTCTCGTTAGTCAAATTTTGTTAGGAGTCCCTTCAAATTCGATTTACAGCGATTCAACCGTACTGTACTGTAATTCAACTAATAGGGAATATTTATCGCATCAATGAAAATGTGTGGCAGGAAATATGAGTGCTCTAATGTGTACTATACATTGCATGAATCTTGACATGATGAGTCAATATTCTGATGAAAACATTCCTTTTAATGATTTGTCTTTAGTATAAGGAGTACGTTATTGGATTCATCCTACCCTGTTGATTATAAGTATTCCCATCACGCGCGATTTTCTCACTGCGCCATCTTCGACACTCTGGGATTTTGAGTTTCTAGCTTTTTTTGCGCTGCTTTTTTGCTCAGCCTATGAGTGTTATGAATGATGCAACATTTTATTTTTTTTTATTCGCAGAACTGAAATCCAGTCGACGTCTTCAAGATATTCTTTACATGATTCTTATCGCCGGGAACTTCCTCAATTCCGTAAGAAAATGTCTACAAAAAATGTCTTTTATTTCCACAAAGAGGTTTTCGTAATCAGCTTCAAGACGCCGAATCACCACGATGGCCGTTTGACTTGTAGAAAAAGAGCGGTTAAACAAAAAAAAAGGAATGTATGTATGTACTCTTGTGGGTACTCAAATGGGGTTCTTCGTGACGCAATGTGACCTGTCTCGTCTATCGTTTAATGAAGCATATCTTAGTTCTGTAGTTCAACATTTTTTTTATGCATTGAGAAGGTCTCTGTCGTTATTTTTAATTTATAATCGACTCCCCTGTGCTTTGTCTAAATTTGCCCACGATTATCGATGAACAAGATTTGAATACAAATTTTTTGGATTTTATTTCAGGGAGGTTATGCAGGAGATGCAGCGGGAGTCAAAATGACGTCTCTTCAGAAACTCACGGATATTCGAGCAAACAAACCTGGCATGACATTGATCCATTATATCGTTATGGTATGAATTTTGGCGAATATTACGTCGGTTAGCAATTAGGAATTTGTGCCCGTCTCTTCGGAGTTTCATCAGATGGACGAAGATATCTACTAAATTTTGGAGAAAAGAAAGGATAACATCTTCATCAGCAATGTTACAATTGTTGCCCACCCGTGGAAAAATATAAATAAGGCTCTAGAGATGCATATCCATATTTTTAAAGAATTGCGGTTTACCTGCCCGAGTTTTATTTTCCATGATTTTTTCGCACATATTAAGCGATAAAATTCATTTCGATTTCTTTTGAAAGTATTTTCATATTTGATAATTTTCCTGATCTGAATTACATGTCCAATAAAAAATCAGACCCTGTAAATCGCTCTGTTAAAGATGCTGAAATTGAGGGTTGCATAAAAGTTTAAATAATGAAGAAGGCTGCGATTGAAGAAAATTATTTTCAATGAAACAAAGCCTTTTTAGGCATTGGTACACTGATTTCGCGTTCGTGGTGTGAAGGATATTCTGGCTCAATAAAATGATTAGACTAGGAATTTAATAACGAAGTGCTGGCAAAATTTCGAAAACATCCCTCGTGAAGCACTGAAGCATCACATAAGCGAGAAGCTTTGCTTGGTGCATTTGTTTAAAGTTTGTGATTTATCGACTTTAAAAATTCTTCATTAACACCTCATGAGACTGATTCTCGTTCCAGGAATGTGAGAAGAAGAACAAGGACCTTCTGAAGTTGCCGGACGAATTCGGGTGCCTTGAAGAAGCTTCGAAGTATTGAGAATGAAAAACTTCTCAATTTTGTTGCAGACATTTTATGCATTTTTGTCTTGTTCCAGAATCTCAATCGCTCAGCTTACGTCCGACATCCAGAACCTCGACGGCAGAGTGAAGCGCATCAGTCAGCAGCTGAAAAATACTTCTCCTCCTGATTTGCAGTCGCAAATGGCTCAGTTCATTAGTGTAAGTTTCAATCAAGTGAATAAAAAAAGGTTGAGAAATGTATCATGTAAGACTTATAAGTTCTTTCTCGTTCTCAAATAGATTGCTGAACAAGAGCTGGATGGTTTGAATCTTGACCTCCAAGCACTCGAACGAGTGCGAATCGAACTCGGAGAGTTTTTCTGTGAAGATCCGGCAATTTTCAAACTCGAAGACTGTTTCAAGGTTTTTAAATTGAGATCGCCTTGAGCTTTCCGGAAAACTGATCAATCTTTTGATTTATATAGATCTTCCAAAACTTCATTCAAAAATTCAAGCAATCGATCCAGGAAAATGAAAAGCGCAGAGATCAAGAATTGCAGGCCGAGCTTCGAAAGAAACTTAGGGAAGATACAACGTTGCGGAGAAGGCCTAGCTTTGGTCAGTTTATTCCCATTGAAGTTGTTTCTGAAATGAGGGAAAAATTCAATGGAAGGACTAATACTTATTTCTATTTTTTTTCCTGAACAGGGCATTCAGCCACTTTACCGAGGCCGTCCTCAATGGGATCTGATTCAGATTCGAATATTATGGACTCGTTGCTATCAGATATTCGCTCCGGTTTCCCGAGAAAAGGAGATAAGGTACTCGAACCGGTTTCTATTCGTATTGTGATCTGTTTTCTGAACTCTCCGTTTTGATAGAAGAGCAATGTGTTCGGAATTGATCAAGATGTGATCACTAACCTCCCTGCAACTCCTCGACTTGTACGTCGAAAATTTCCCAGCACTGGACAGGATCCTGTCGCAGCGTCAAACCTTGCTGCTTTGGATTCTGGATTGGGTACCAGCGGCGAGAATCCTGGTATAGTCATCACGAATGGAAACCGAAAGTGAAGCGTAGAATATCTTTCATCAACAAAAATATTGGACACCATCAATTATCAAACGCATATTTACGCTTTTTTGAATCTAGATTTGAATAAGTTTTAATCGAGACGCGCGCGTGCGTTACTTTGGTTCAGAGTCAGAAAGGAGTCTGAATTATAACAGCGCATTCGAATCCCCATCTTATTTATCCTGAGCTCCTCATGAGCATGGATTGATAGGAGTATGGATTACCAGCTTGATTAGAAAATATTTCTATACCTTAATGTCTAGAAAAGGATGACGAAAAATCATTCCTGAGTGGAAATTTTTGTGTTGCAACCTTTTCGTCATGGAGTGTAAATTGATCAACGCACGTTGTCACTGCATTAAATCAATTTGGTAATTTTGGGATTGTTCGATTGGTCTATTCTACAGTGTTTTAAACTTTATCTTCAATTCATTCAATGAAAGTGTCGTTCAGGGTTATAAATTAATTTCATTGCGTGTGAATCTAAGACTCGTTGAAATGTATGTCGAACGCAGTAATTTTTCGACATTTTGAAAAGATGTTGGTCCGCTACATATCAAGTACGGAACGGGAATAGCGGTGGACTCTCGCTACAATAAAATTCAAGGGATCATGAAAAATGCATTGTAGAGAGAATTTCGTTGTAAAGGAGCGTTATAATGTGGAGAGGGGGAAAATCGTTATATAGAAAATACTGTATCGTTGTACAGTATAGGCAAGACTGTTGAGAGATTCCTTGTGTACCACAAATGAGTGACGCGTTGCATCAGGAGTTTCTGCCCGAGTTTTCAGTTTTCACATTTACCTTCATAGATGTCACTCCGAATGGCACGATGCGCCGCCGCCGCAGCAAGATCCATTCTGAAGAAGAAGGGAATTTGATGGACTACTTGCGTGCTGGTGGTGTTAACCCTCCCGATCCTATCCCTGAACGCAAGGAAAAACGATCCTGGGGCGGATTACCTGGTACGAGACTCATCCGTCAAACGTTAATAGCCGCAAATAGTTGCGTCGGACACCACCCTTTGTGGTTTCCTCCCAAGCAGACTTGCTTACTTCCATCTCTAGCCCTTCCTTTTTTGCTCGAAAATGTTCCTTGCTGTAGAACATCAATTATAATCTTCTCGAACTCTCAATCTACCGATAATTAGATGGCGCAGAGTTGCTGAACTACTGTACTGCTATTCGGAATGATCGCGTCTCGCTATAAATAACAGCAAGAATAAGCATCCTCTGGACACATCTTCGCTTTGTTCTAAACTTGTATATCGGGGTCGAAATCTGTGGAAATTACTTCATATTGTCTTGGATCTTGAAAGGCTTCAAAATCCAGAAACAACTCCACGATCCACCTGTTTTCAAAAAAATAATCTGAAGCTTGTCAAATATTTTGATGGGTAGAAATGATGCGCGTGCGCTATCGAAAATCCACGCGTGTGGAATGCGTAGAAGATTCAACTCCAATTTTTTAAATTTTGGGATAACTCCAACCTTAAAAAGCTATGTTTTATCACTAAATAAATGCTATTTCCATCCTTTTGCATTAACCTACAATAATGAAATCGTTGCCTGATACGATTTCTTGAAATAGTCGACGCCTTATTGAGCTTTTAGATGGGATGAAATCAAACAGAATGAGTTAGCTTAGGCAGTTAGACTTATATAAAACCGAAAATTCATGTTCATTTTCTTTCCTTATTCTTCATACATACTCAGCTCGAGACTCATTTATTCTACTCGCTTCATGTGAGAGGAATCAGAGGATTAGACCGCAGAAAAATGTACCCTCGTTTCAAACATCGATTTCTTCTCAACAGTAATTGCTGGTTCTCCCTTTGAAAAGATTCGTAAAACTGAAAATTATTCTAGCCCCTCTCGAGTGCTATCTCCCTGAACATTTTCGAAGTACCCTCTGAAGTATCTCGCAATAAAATAATTTTTTCCCTAATCGTTTTTTACGAAATCATTTGATGGCTGCACATGGGAACAGAACAGTTCTCAGAACTCCAAGTCCTTCAACCCTCGAGTAACGAACATCAGAGCTCTCTTTAGCTTTATTTTTGTTTCGAATGGGTGTGCTAGCCATATTTTGCCACTGAAGTATGAGGTTCGGGCAATATTCGGAAAAAAAATTGAATTAACTTTTCTTCGATTTCAAATCAATTTTCTTGATGCCTTCGGCTGTTGATGGAAATCATGAAATTTCCAAATCCGTCTTGATCATTATCCTTTTGGTCTGTGTACCCTGCAAACTTGGCACTTGTGCCCAGTTCAATACTGTGACTCTCAATTTGGTGGATGAGCTCGTCGTCGAAAGGGATGCGATGATGTTTGCTGTTATTGGAATGTGTTTGGGCCCCCAAGCCACGCCAGCGCTTGCCGTTCATTACTGTTTTCATGGGCATTACATTTCCCAGATTGATCATAATTTTCGGTCATTTTCAGCTGAAATGTACGGGTCATTGGACAGATCCTGGGCTAGACGGAATGCGGGCGGTGTGGCGAAACCGAGGCCTGTTCTGGCAGCAGGCGCCTTCGACAACCGGGAGATTGCAGAGGCGGAACCGCAAATTGCGCAGCAGCCGGCAGCAGCGACGGAACAAGTTCAATTGCCTGACGAGACCAATGCTAACAAACCCAAGTGAGTTAACTACCTCAAAATTGCTCGACCAGGCATGCCTTTGACTGCTGCTGGTGTCAAAGAANTGGTGGAACCTTTTTTTGGCTGATCCAATGGTGGCAAGGATGACTGACGTGCATGCAGCAATCAGCACGGGTTTTTTGGATTTAAACTGGTATCATTTTGAAAAATGACGCTTTCTCTTGCAAAATGACTCGACCGAATGCTCAGGTGTATTACGACTCCTGTCATGCTAACCCAAAATAATAAAAATTTCCCCTAAAAAAGCTTTCTTGCCTGGCTTGAATCGTGTTCCTTTTGAAAGAGCATGTGAGACGGCACTTCGCTGTCTGTATGCACATTTTACGGAGAAAATTAAGATGAGCTATGTCATTGATGTGATTTTATCTTTTCAATGAAGTTTTACTCAATTTTAGAATATGTTTCAGTTGTTTTTTTCATTACGAGAAGGAATATACGTTTATCCGGTGTAAAATTTGGAAAGGACCTGAGTATCTCTGCTTCAAGTAACTGCGAAAATTTATAACACGTGAACTGCATTATTTAATTATTCTTGTTAATTAGTGGACTTTTCATTTTCATGTACCCCGTATGCGTTTTCATAAAGTACAATACAGTATACAGTATAATGTTGTAGATCTATGAATAATTATAATTGTGTATCATTTCGACATTGGCTACCAGCTGAGGTCGTCATTTTAGAGTTTAAAATTTTTTATATTGAGCGAAAAATGGCTATACCTGATAATGTTTGGATGATAACGATTCCACTGTACTTCCGAATACGTTATTTTTCTACAAAAAGCTTTCAGTGACTTTCTTGTCAAAATACTGTACAGTACAGTATTTCAAGATTCTGAGATTTTAACTGTGGATGTTCGAAGTTCAGAATGGCAATCATTTCGTTTGCATGACAACCATGAAAAAGAAATGCATGGCAGGTCGACAATCTCAATCCGTTCAGCGATTTTTTTGCTTGGAAGTACGTTTGGTGCGGTGAGATGCGTTTTTTCTTACCATGTTTATACTGTACATGCGGTTTTTTACATTTATTTCTTACTCTGCTTCACGTGCCTTTCTTACTCTGGTTTGCATGCCTTCCTTAATCCGCTTCACATGCCTTTCTTACTCTGCTTTTACATGCTTTTCGTACATGTAAAAGCATTTTTAATGCATTGCTACGTTGAATATGCAATCCGTGATGTTTTTCTATAATCTCCGACTTGGCTGTTGCAATATTACATCAGAAAAAATCTGAATTTATTGGTTTACTACATTTCTCAAAATTCAGGCTGGATATTAGGTGACTGGCCGTGCGGCGATTTTGAGCCGTGAATTTAAGGAAAAAATTGTGCAGAAATTTTCGGGGGGAAATGTGACCTTTAAACTGGCAAAATCTGCTGGCTTTCCTGCAAGGATATCCACTCTTTTTTTCGTTCTAATGACATGTGTAAACTTTTAAGCTTTGACACCACGTCGGATATGTTATTAACTTTATAAAGAGTTCATTTGAATGGATTTTAGCTCACTTTACCCTTAAAGATTACGTCACTTTTCCCAGTTATTTTAAACGGTGCTTACAGTTTCTTCTTCCTGTTGAATGATGCTGTTGCTTATCATCCTTCACGTTTTTATTTTTGAGTACTGTACAGTAATGTAGCATATAGCTAGCTTTTCGGTGGTGGTGAATTCAAAATTAATTATTTGGATTATAATCTGTGCTTGTTTCGAGCATACAGTCGGATCTCTGTAATCGAATTTCATGTGGAAAAAAATTCGAGTTCGTACCTAAGGTTTTGAGATAGGGAAACAAGCATGTGTTGTGGGGAAAGAAGGAAGAATTGCTGGAATTGTAATTGGTTAAACTCTATAAGCCTTATAGATTCCTTTTTAAATGAGTTAACTGGATGCTGATCTTGGAGTTAATGGTTTATTTTGGTCAAATCAGAAAGTGAAGGAAAGTTTTTTGTAGTTTAATTTATAAATAGTCAAAGAGAAAAGATACGGTTATTTTATTATCGGATTTCCGGGAGGTCTTTTAAGTTCAATACCTCCAAACCTTTGGAATGCCTTTGAGTTTGGGAGGTTTTTAATGCATTGCTTCTGAGGGAATTCAGGCAGGTACTTAAAAAATTAGACATAGGGATGATATACAGGTGGTACCTTGCAATTTGATGCTAATCCATTGCCAAACTAGGGTTGAATTGCAAAGCAGTCAAATTGTGAGACCCTATGTGAAATAGAAATAATATCAGTACAAAAATGCAAAAAAAGGGTTCGAAGCAGGTCAAATTGCAGGGCAAGGGCTGAGGTCGAATTACAAGGTACCACCTGTATTTGACTTACGGAGGTTTGAGCTATCCGGGTTCAAGTGTAATGCGTTTCCTTTAATGACCTTTTGCTGTTCGTTTTTTTTTTTTTTTCTTCTGCGGATCTGGTGTCTGCTCCCTGACATGTTTTGGCGACAAACTAATAGCGGTGAGAGCAGCTCGTCGTCGCGCAGGAGCAGGTTGGCGCCCCACAGTGGAGTCGACTGACGTGTTGGGCACCATGGAAGCCATCGAAGACGAAGGCTCCAAGCGTGAGAAGAGTGACAAGGCGGCGGGTTGGCGGAAGGGTTCGCCCGACGGGCCCGAGACACCCGTGGAAGCCCAGCAGAAGAAGATGATGCTCCGGAGACTCATTTCCATGGGAAAGGATGCTGAAGACCGCGGCATCTCAGCCTTACAGGTCAGCCTCTCCTCTTCTTCCTTCCTCTTCTCTTTTTGCACGAAAATGTTTTTCTGACCTTTCTTTTAGCGACAAAATACCGTGAAATCACTCCACGCTGATTTTTTTTTATGGGCGAAACCACTTGGCGCGAAAAAAGAGTCTTTTTGTCAATCTGAGCTCAAAAATATGTCAATTGTATGAAATATGTGATATGAAAAACGTCTCGGAGTTTTGCATTGACGTTTTTTTTAGCCTTGCCATGCAGCCTGGTTTCAACGCGGCTCTTGGAAATGAAGAAAATTAACTTTTAATAATTTGTATCACGCCGTCAAACCTACTGTATTTTCAATGATGGAGACTCGCTGCTAGTGGCAGAATAAACTGGATGAATATCTGGACCCTGAACTACAGCCACAAAATTCTTTAAGCCCTGTGTTTTGCATTGATAAGTACTGTAATTAACAAACGGAAACTTTTCGGATTACTTCGCAAGTTTTCAAATAGTCTCACCTATAGGGCAATATAATATTTTTACGTGTGGAATACATTTTTTTCAATGAAAACTTAGCTTTAGCAATTGTATTATGATTGGTTTGGATATTTTTGGAGGTAATTGGGAATGTATTTCCCGAAGCGGACATTCTCTCATTTGACTCACTACTCACAAATTTCAAATTAATGCGAATACCATTTCTTTATAAAAACTGTACAGTATTGAAATGTGTCCTACGGTAATAACATTGAATCCAACAAAAAATCATTTGTTGGAGCTTGAATATTAAAATCTTTGAATGTGAGTTGAGTCTGTGTATTACACTACACAAAAGCAAAAGGGAACTCATACTACTTTCGCGCTCTTAAATTTACGAGGCTTTTCACAGGCGACTTTTTTTCGTGGAATTTAAGATTTAAACCAGCGAAGTTCATTCAACTGTATGTTCGGTTGAAAACTCGGAGGCAATAAAACTGTTGGTTGAGAACATGAGATACGGAGAAAATCCAACCACGACTTCCGGTTGAGATTCCAAAACGGCGCAATCGATGGAGTTGAACATGATGAAACAAACAAAGGCTTTTCTAAATACTGTACTGAAGTTACCGGAAAGAAAACGGTAGGATTCGTTCCGAGCTCGACGAAAGAAAATTCCACTAAAAATTGAATGGGATACGAAAAATGCGCGATTTTGACGCGGTTTCGGCACTGGAAATTTGCTCGAGGCGTTTCGGAAACAGTTGCCCAACAGACTTTTATGCGTGGACGCAGTTGCAATTCTAGTACAGTATATCGGCCAAAAAGTTCGCCGGCCAAAAAATTCGCGAATTTTTTGGGAAACCTGGAGAACGCGATCGAGCATGAGATTAGAACGGCTTGTCGATGCCTGGCCGACAAANCATTGCGAAGATTATTTTTTGAAATTGATTAGGAGTGTACCAACCTTCGTAGGAATATTTATTGTTGACGATAATTCGAAAACTTCTTCAAATTTTAGATGGCTTCGTTATGCGAGTGTTTTATTCCGCGTAGACTCTCTTCGCAACGATTTTTCTCTGTATATAACAACATTTTTACGGTTACCCCAGGACTTCCCTATACCCGTCATTTAGGGGTTCTCTTCGACAAAATTCTCTCAACAACGCATACTTTCTGGTCCCCTGACTTCATAATAGAGAAAGAGTCCACCTTTAAACGGTATTTTGCGATTATTGTATTTGCTTGAGCGAAGACAGAGATTCTCACTTTTTTTTTTATCGCGGAAGCCTTTTTGCAATCAACATACTGTACAAGATGGAGTCCTTAATATTGTATTTGGAGTGTGATTATCTCGACCTGGATTATGTAAGTTTTTGTTTAGCAAACAAACTTTTCAACGAAATTTCAACCACTTCTGATGGCTTTATCGATTTGTAACTATGCATCCATCTTCCAAAATTCAGCAGTTATTTTTAATAATTCAGAGAAATTTTGGAATTAACGTATCAAGGTACAGTGCAGGTTGTACCTTGCAATTCGACCCGAATCCATTGCCAAACTAGGGCCAAATTGCGAGACACTCCGTGGAATTTTAAAATGCAAAAAAGTGGACAAAGCAGGTTGAATTGTGGGGCAAGAGTTGAATCGCGAGACAACTTCCTTGAAAATTTGATTGTCAAATTGCAGGACAGTTGAATTGTGGGAGGTCAAATTGCGAGGTACCAACTTTAAATTATTTTGACGGATCCTTTGTCTTTAAAATTCTCAATTTTCCTCAAAAAGTATCAAATGTTCCTTCTCTTTGATCTTTGCACTGAATTGTGCACCCAATTGTCTTTTGCTCAGTCTTGGCTACCCTGATCACTTGAAAGCTAATTTCAGTGGCATTTTTCGTAATATTCTGGATTGTTCATGAAGGGATAACTGACAATTGATTGTCTAGGAAAGTACTACAGATACAGTGAGGTCTTGGTTAAAAAATGCCCTGGTTAAAACAATATTTGGTTAATATGCTTTGCATTTTGGCCTCCGCTGCTTTGGATAACAAACCGTGACTTGGTTTACAAACTTTGGGGATGCAAAGATGGGCCTCCCAAAATGCCACCCTCTTGGGTCTGGAATTGGGTCCATATATTTCCCAACTGCTATTTCTTGCTCTTCTTAAAGATTTCGATTAGAATAACAAAAATAACATGATTCCTGTAGGATTTGACTTTTACTTTAACATTTGTGTTTTTGCAAATTTATTTCTTGACATTTCTCTCAATATACTTTTTTTGTGTAACTTTGTTTCCATTTTAGATGTGTTTCTCATCATTTTTCACCTAAATATGGCACTGTACACCTGTCCTTTATATTATTTTTCTGTTTACAGACACAGGTTGTCCAAAAGGGCCAAGTAAATGAATTGTGTGAAAGAATTGACAAAGAGACGGGATTGAATTTACTGAATTAATTTTTGCATACAGAGTTTTGACTCCACCCATGCTCTCTGGCATTCTTCAAAAAGCTCCTGTCTTCATCAAAACTTTTTTGAGCTTCTCTTCTAATTTTTCAATGCAAGTTCTTAAATTTCAGGCCCATTACAATTTAAAACATAATTTTTAATGATTTTCATGGGCGCTTTCAAGGTTCTGGAACCAATTAAAATTATTCATGTACTTTCTTAAGGGGAAATTTCATTTGGTTAACAAACTTTGGCCAGGAACCAATTGAGTTTGTAAACCAAGACCACACTGTAAATGGAAATTCTGTGTTGAGCTCGTATATGCAGAAACTTGAGACATGGTATTGACCTCACAAAGTTCTCTTTTATTCTTTGTGAGCTGGGTTCATTTATGTAGGATTTCATTTCGCTACAGTATCTTAAACTTTTTCAGCTGTGAAATTGAGGTCGAAAATCGCTGAACTAAAAATCACAGCCAACAAACCTATACTGTACATGCAGTGTGCCGATTTCGAAAATTCTGTTTCACGCTGCAAACCGAACTCCTGTTATATATAGAGTTCATAAAGAAAATTCGTGGAAACGGCAAATATCCGAGATGGTGGTCTTTCCACCAGCAGTGGGAACTTTTGAATCTCGTTCATTGACCTTTTTTCCCCCGAAATTTTGAAAGAAAGAGAGAAAGAACATTCGGGAAACGGTGCCAAGGAAAGGGGCAAAAGAAAAAAACCTGGTCGTTCTGCTGTTCTCCAGGAATCGCCTGACAGCGTGAGCCGTGAACCCTTGAGCGGGGGCTTTTTATTCTCCTGGCTCCCTGATGCGTGATCGCGTTTGTCAATTATTTCTGCGGTCAATGCACGCTGAG